TGAATGGAGCATACTATAGTATGCCAATTTAAGTCTTTTGGGTTTAGATCGAGGAATGGGATGGCTGAATCAAATGGTGGTTCCATTCCAGGGTTTCTAAGGAATCTCCATACCGCTTTCCAGAGTGGTTGCACAATTTGCAGTGCTACCAGCAATGTATGAATGTATCTTTTCCCTCACATCCTCACCAACACTTACTGTTGCTTGTATTCTTGATAATTGCCATTCTGACTGGAGTGAGATGCAATCTTAGAGTAATTTTGATTTGCATTTCTATAATTACTAGAGAAATTCAACATTTTTTCATTGATAGATTTTATATCTTCTGAGAAGTGTCTGTTCAGTTCCTTAGCCCATATATTGATTGGGTTATTAATTTTTTGATGTTAAGTTTTTTGAGTTCTTTGCATATTCTCCAGATTAGTGCTCTCTCTGAAGTGTGTGTAGTAAAGATGTTCTCCCACTCTGTGGGCACCTTCTTCAAGATATTGATTGTTTTTTTTGCTTAGAAGAACCTTTGAAATTTCAATCCTTCCCATTTATTAATTCTTGATTTTATTTCTTCCACTTTAGGAGTCTGATTAAGGAAGTCAAGATCTAATCCAACATGTTGAAGATTAGGGCTTACTTTTTCTCCTATGAGGCACAGGGTCTCTGATCTAATTCCTAGGTCTTTGATCCACTCTCAGTTGAGTTCATGGTGAGAGATAGGAGTTTAATTTTCATTTTGCTACATATGGTTTTTTCAGCTCTTCCCCCACCATATGCTGAAGAGGCTATCTTTTCACTAATGTATGTTTTCAGCTCCCTTGTCTAATATGAAATAACTGTATTTATGTGGGTTTGTCTCTGTGGGTACTATTCTATACCTTTTGTCTACATGTCTGTTTTGATACCAATACCTTGCCATATTTGTTACTGTAGCTCTGTAGTATAGTCTAAGGTTGGGTATTGTGATGGTTCCTGCTTTACTCTTCTTATACGAGGATTGCTTTGGCTATTCTGGGTCTCATATTTTTCCAAATGAATTTCATGATTGCTTTTTCTCTTTCTATGAGGAATTTTAATTCTAATTAAAATCCTAACAATATTAAATTAAATCTGTATAATGCTTTTGGTAGTATGGCCATTTAGACAGTATTCTTCGTATCCAAGAATATGGGAGATCTTTCCATCTACTAAAGTCTTCTTCAATCTCTTTCTTTGGTGTTCTGTAGTTTTTATTTTAGTGAATTTTCACCTCTTTCGTTAGATTGATTCCCAAGTATTTTTTTTTCAGGCTATTCTGAATGTGGTAGTTTTCCTAATTTGTATTTCAGAGGGTTCATCACTGATGCATAGAAATGCATTTTAGGGCTGCGGTTGTAGCTCAGTGGTTGGGCACTTGCCTTCATACATGAGGCACTGGGTTCAATCCTCAGCACCACATAAATAAATAAATAAATGAAATAAAAATTTTGTGTCCATCTGCAACTAAAAAATATACATTTTTTTATTGGTTGCTCAAAACTTACAATGATCTTGACATATCATATTTCATATATTTGATTCAAGTGGGTTATGAACTCCCATTCTTACCCTGTATACAGATTGCAGAATCACATCGGTTACACATCCACGTTTTTACCTATTGCCATACTACTGCCTATTGTATTCTGCTGTCTTTCCTATCCTCTACTATCCCCCCTCACTTCCCCTTCCATCTTCTCTCTCTACCCCATCGATTGTAATTCATTTCTCTCCCTTGTTTTTCTTCCCTTTCCCCTCACATCCTCTTATATGTAATTTTGTATAACAATGAGGCTCTCCTTCCATTTCCATGCAATTTCCCTTCTCTCTCCCTTTCCCTCCCACC